TCCTCATCTCTGGTAAACTTGAGGCCATTGTTACAGTCACTGTGTATCTCATCAAGGATCTTATCTTCCGCTGACTCTACACCTTTCCAAGCATGATTTCCTTTTCCAAGAACTGGCCCCTCCTAACACCAGGCCCAAAGGATGTGAGAGATGAACCGTCACCGTCCTTACTTTCAAGGAAAGGAACACATTGACTGTACCTTCTCCAGGACATGCTTGTTAGTTCTTTTGCCAATCCATGGGATATTCAGAGCTCTTCTCCAACACCATAACACAAAGGCTTTGATTCTTCTAGACTAGCATAGCCTTTGACCCAGGAATTGTAAGAATTTATCCTAATTAAGTGTGACTTTGTTTTCAAGTTTGTATAGATGATTTGACATTACATTCAAAATAACAGAAAGCAAATATAAATGTCCAGCAGCAGAAAATGCTGGATTACATTCTCCCGGATACGCAGAAGTATACATTTATTGACATATAACAATGCTCATGATACAGTGCTAATTGAAAAAAACTAAAAAGGTTACAGGTATACATGGCATGTTGTTGTTGTTGTTATGTGCCATTGAGTCACTTGCGACTCATAGCAACCCTATGTACAAGAGCCCCAAACGCCATTCTATCTTGTGCCAACCTCACCGTCTCAAACACACTTATTCCCACCACTCCACTCACAGAATCGATCCATCTCATTGAGGGTCTTCCTCTCCTGCACCATCCCCCCACTCTCCCAAACATGATGTCCCTCTCCCAGGACCAGTCCCTCCTTGCAACATGTCCAAAGTATGTCAGACGAAGCTTCAGAATCCTTGACTCCAAGAAGCATTCCAGCTTCACCCTCTCCAGGACAAACCTGTTTGTTCTCTTAGCAGTCCATGGTATATTCAACACTCTTCTCCAGCACCACAGATCAAAGGCATCAATTCTCTTTCTGTCATCCCTAGTCACTGTCCAACTCTCTGATGCACAGCACGTAATTGCAAAGACTATAGCCTGGATCAGGCGCACCTTAGTCTCCAGCCTGATGTTGTTGCTCTTCAGTCCTCTTGAGAGGTCCCTCACAGCTGACTTTCCCAATGCAATTCGTCTCCTGATTTCCTGGCTGCTGTTACCAAGAGTGTTGACTGTGGAACCAAGTAAATGAAAACTGTTAACTATCTCAATCTCTTCACCATCCATACTGATGCTGCCAATTGGCCCCGTGGTGGTAATCTTTGTTGTCTTGATACTGAGCTTCAATCCATATTGAAAACTGCAGTCCTTGACCTTCTGCAGCCAGCGCTTCAGGTCCTCCTCAGTTTTAGCAAGCAGGGTTGTGTCATTTGCATAACGCAGGTTGTTGATGATTCTTCCACCAATCCTGATGCCACATTCCTCCTCATACAGCCCAGCATCTCAGATGATCTGTGCATTAAGCTGCATGAAATAAGCCAATCACGAAAGGTCAGAGTGCGTGAGTCCACTGTTTAAATGGAAGATTTACACACAGAAAGAAGCATTCATGGATGGTTATCAGGGATGGGAAAGCTCTGCTTTCAGAATGCTCTACACAACCCCAATTCTCTCTGATTAAGCTCTCGTGCAGTACGTAGGAAGACAGATCATTTACTTCACTACCAAGTGCTGACAGGAGAGGATGGAGGGGAGCCACTTACCCACATTGTAGGGAGAGGAGGTGGGATAAGTTAGAGTGAGGCAAAAGGCTAACGTGGTGCAACTGGTTAACATCATCCACTGCTAACTAAAATGTTGTAGGTTCAAATCCACCCATAGGCACCTCAGAAGAACGTGATCTACTGGTAAACAAAACCAACAGTTATCGAAACCCTTAGAGAGCAGTTACACGTGGTGTCACCCATTTTGTTATTGTTGTTGTGTACTGTCAAGTCGGAACTGACCCATAGCTGACCTTCCCAGGTTTTCAGAGGCATTAAATAGCACAGGAGGACATTGCCCATCCTTCTGCCTAGGAGCAGTTGGTAGATTCAAACCATGTACCTTTGGGATTGGAGTACAGCTTCTTACCACTAGGCTAGGAGAGCTCTCTCTTAAACCAGACTCTGGCTTAATTTAGCAAAGCATGGTGATGGGTTCATAGGTTATATCAGCAGAGGGAGATAAAGAACCCTGAAAGTGTCGACATCTCCCCTCAGGTGATAATCAGATCACAGCTGTACCCTTTAACAAGCTAATCAGTGATCTGAAGGATCAGTGTTAATCTATTTACCTAGTGGTAACTTAATCACCCTGCGGGCTGTGGCCCATTAAGTTCTCATCCAACCCTCTCAGGTATTTTATGAATCTGAGAGAGTCTCTGATTTTAATCAACTGCCAGATATAGAAACTCAAGCCAGTAAGAACCTTCTAGAAACTCGCTGCCGAGAAGAGTTCTAAACCTGGGTCTTTTAGCCATGGTGACTCCCTTGAGGATGTTTGTACAGCATTGTGCCTGGGGACAGAAGTGAGACAGAGGGGGGTGAGGGGCGTACCTCTGAACAGATTCTTGTGAAGAGAAGCGTGGCCCAAGATGCTATGGAGACAGAGCCAAGTAAAATCTGTTGGAAGGACTGACATGCTGGTGTCTGCCAGCCCGTCTGTCATTCCAACTTTTGATAAAATGGTATTTTAAATCACATGGAATGAGCCAAAATGCTTCATGTAAAAGTGGCTCCTTTATAAGGTCTTTTGTCATTTTACAGTTAAATGAACTGTCAACTGGGCCCCAGAGAACATGCATCTTAGCCTAGAACTTCAGCAGTGCTGAGCTGACTGTTCCTCAGGTGACAGACATAAAGTAAAACTTGCTCGCAGGTAAAGCTGCCTCCATTGACCAGCCCTGCTCCCTCACCCTCAGCTCATTCCTGCCGCAGAGCTTGGGGTTTGGTTTTTGCTTTGTTTCTTCCCCTCCTGGTTAATGGCTGAATTACACAGCTGACATGTACCCTCATAAGGGCCCCGCCACAGGCAAAGAAAATAGAAATGTTACTATGAAAGGGAGCTTCAAGGTTCATGACTTTGTCCATCTTTCAGCGAATTCTGTGATTCATAAACTCAACTTCTGTACACGGATGGTGGTGGTTACCCAGCTGATGCTTTCTGCCTGAGACAGGGGATCTGTGAGTTCCCCAAGGGTGTGACGGTCCCTACTGCATGAGCATGGACCCAGGCCTAACCATTCTGGTTGATGCATTCTTATAGCATCTTATGAAAGAGGACGTGAATCCCCGTTTTATACCTGCCAAACCTAGGCGCTGTCGTAGTCTGCAAGCAGTTTGTCCAAGATCACACAGTCAGTAATTGGCAGGACCGATATGTAGAAAAATGAAAGGTGTCTCCAGAGAGATGTGTGAGCAAAGCCACCTGCTCCGTGTGCTGCTGCCAGTTCTCACCAAGGACCCCAGTCGGTGCTGCGGTACCAGCCACTGTGCCCAAGTGACGCCCAAGAAAAGCCATCGAGGAATCCTTGAGAGATGAAAGGGGTTGTAGGGAAATGAGGGCATTCAACTAGCTAACTTATCTCGACCTATTTTTAAAATAATGATGGGGAAAGAGTGAATTGTCTACAAATGAACATAAAAAACACAGTGAGTGGTGCTTACATTACTGCATTGAATCCTCATACTCTCCTGAGTCCGGGACTAAGTACAATCTCCATTTCACACACAAGGAGTCGGAAGCTCCCAAAGTCACCTACAGAGGAAGACGGGATGATATGAACCAAGAAAAGTCTTCTCATGCCATCGATTTTCCGCTACCTCAAATTGTAAAGTTGGCTTCGGAAACTATTTACTAGAATCTAAATACTTCACAGCCATAGAGCATCTCATTAAATTTTGTATGTTCCTAAAACATAATACGTACTTTACTGTGCTTTGATTTTTTAAAAATAGATTGAATGTTTGTCGCAACCCTATATATAAAACATGTCTGTAGGCACCGTTTTCCCAACAGCATGTGCCCACTTCGTGTCTCTGTGTCCTATTTTGGTCACTCTTACCATTATTTCAGACATTTTCATGTTGTTACTGCACACTAGATAAAGAGTAGTGTAAACATAAATTTAAATGAACGGGGAAACAAAGCTACACGGACTCACTCTACCAGGAGAGGCACTCGACTGTGGTGCAATGTGACTGAACGCACAGTGTTTCTGAGGCGGCCTGCATAGCAGCTTGGACCGTGCAGGACTCAATAAATGCTTGTGGGTTGGTTACCCATGACAATATTGTGAACAAATAGAACATTTATTGATCTTATTTCCAAATAGTAGTTGGAATATTTATTTATCTTATTTCCAAATAGTAATAAGTATGTGGAAAACTACTTTGACATTCCTTACAGGCTACATTGTTCATTGAGAACAAAATGATACAAAAGGGTGTGGTGTTTTGGTTTGGTATTTTGTTTTGTTTTTGGTGGGTTTTTTTTTTGTTTGTTTTTTTGGTTTTTTTTAGTAACTCCCTATGTTTGGCTCAGAGGTTAAAATTTGTACTGCTTATACAAGGTGTCAACAAATGCACCCATTGTCTTGTAGCTTTATGACTTAGTGTTTTCAAACAAATGGTCTTGCTAGATTAATCCTGGTAGGGAAAAAAACCCCATTTGGCATTTGTTGTTGTTGTGTACCCTTGAGTCTGAACCGACCGATGGCTGACCTTCTGGTGGGTTTTCAGAGGCAGTTAATCACACGGGAAGAGATTGCCCATCCTTCTCCTGCAGAGCACCTAGTGGCCTCGAACCACATGCAGAAATATGTATAATAATATAGTCAAAACCCAACCACTGCAAATCATTTTAATGTATAAGCAGAATATTAGAAAAAAATGGACTAAAAATAAGTATCTTAGAAAGTATGGCACAAGAGGCATAGTGTGTGGCCTGACCCCGCTGACGGTATCTGTGTGTGCTGGGCTCTTAGCAGACACCTCCTCCACGCAGCACACCCAGACTTCTTCAGCTGTGCGGAGAGCAGGGACCAGCGCTGTCTGCCGATTGGTCTAATACTCCAGCGTCACCGTCTTGGTTTTCAGATATTCGTTTAGAGCTTCCTCACCTAGGTAAGAGAAGAGCAGTTGATGGGTCACTTTGAAAGGTGGGGCACAGCTATAGCCACCGAGAGAAAGAAATGTGGTCTTAGGGGCTTGTCAGATTTTAAGTACAGATGGATCACCTGGGGACTTTGTTAAACTTCTGGTTTGGATTTTTTTTACATCCAGGGTGGGGCCATTTGCATTATTAACTATTCATTGGCAATGCTGATGACATTGGTCCCTGGACCACACATTGGCTGGTAAGGGCCCAGGCCAACTATCTAAAGATCAGAGTGTTGGTGGGGTCAGCTTGACCCACCAGTCCTTTACTGTCATGCTTGAGGATGAACTCCTTGTCTCATGGTCTGTTTAGGTTGAACACAGGTGACTCAGAAACTCTTCTTATTAATATCGAAGGTAGCAGAACTGAACACAAAGAAATGTTAAGATCATTTGGCTTAATCTTATTTTAAGATAAGAAAAATGCAATTTTCCTGGTTTACATATTATGTTAGAAACACAAGATAGGGTTTTTTTTTAGAAAAAGAAAATATGTCTGCCTCCTCTTTTAAAGTATGTTTATTTTGAGCATAGCTTGCGACTGGTTTACTCCAATTTGGTTCCCTCTGGGAACGTGAATTTCCACTTGAGATACATTGAATCTGAATCTATAGTTTAACAAGACCTCCAGATGAGTCTCCTGTGTACACAAGCGGTTTACAGCATTTGTAGGTAAATTCGAACAGGTGCCTAGAGTTCCTGTGTGGACTCGCTTCAGCCCAAGACAAGGCTTGAAGGTTTTGCAAAGCTTTAAAAGCACCAAGTGCTCCATAGTTGAGTGGACTTGGGGGTAGGGATTGCATAATAATGAAAGAGTTTTACTTTTCAAGAAGAGTGAACTGAGAGGCAGAAGGTGAGCAGGGAGAAAAGTGAAACCCTAAGTCTCTGTAAACTTTCATTAAAGGAATTTTTTTAAAAAGCAGCACGTGCAGCAAGTGAAGGAGATTGTGAAGAAGTTGTTGCAAGTAAGTAAGGTGGACCCAGTCTTTCAGAATGAGGGCCAATTTACGCAGCATAGAAGAGAAAGTAGGAATTGTCTGGAAATTGGACGTTTGTAACCTGGAGACTGCCTATACTTAGAAGGAACAGTGTCACTGCCAACAGGGAATAACATTTTGGACTTCTGACAGGCCATGTCTGAATTACCAGATGCTCAGGAAACCTTGCCAGGCGCAGTGTAGCCTGTGAGAGACAGCTAGAGAGCTCTGAGACAGAATTCATTCCTGGAGCAAGCTGATCCTCTCCACGCATTTTCTTCACTTGCTCTCCTTGACCTCTATGAAAGAGCAGTGCCACGCCAGGCCCGTATCAGACGGGGAAAACAAACATGTTTTGGCCAAAATGTACTGTGTGAATGCTATCTTTCCTTTCTATGTTCTTCTGTTCTTCTTTTAAAAAGAATTTTCTCCCATATGATTTGTTACTTTACTATATGTGTAGTAATTTAGGAGCAGAGGCTCAATAAAAATATTTACCATTTAAAAAAATATAAGGAGGTACCAGTTCTTGGAGAGGGACATCATGCTTAGGAGGGTGGAGGGACAGCGAAGGAGAGGGAGACCCAGGATGAGATGGATTGACTCAGTGACATGGGTAAAAGGAGTAGGTGTGTCAGAGATGATGAGGTTGGCTTCAGGATAGAGCAGGGTTCAGAGCTGTTGTTCACAGGGTCACTATGTGCCGCAAGCGACTCAAAGGCACATAATAACAATTCCTTTTCAAGCCAGATCTGCCAAGTCGAAGCACCCTTCACAGTAAGCCCCGTGTGCTGCCCTGAACAGAGGCTCGTCTGTAACATGGCAACAGAGGAACGCAAAGCAGGAAAACAGAGCCGTACCCAAGTCTTTTCCAAAACCAGATTGTTTGACTCCACCAAACGGGGCCGCCACGTCCGTCTTGTTGTAAGTGTTAATAAAAACCGTTCCTGCTTCTAGTCTCTCACTCACATACATAGCTTTATTTATGTCTCTGGTGAAAACCCCTGAGGCCAGGCCGTACTCCGTATTATTTGCTCGCTGCAACACTCCCTCGATGTCCCTACAAGATAAGTTTTTTAGGAGAACATTACATTAAACGTAAAGCAAAACAGGCTCATTTTTGTCTTCTCTCTCCCCTCCCTGCTCCAGGCCATTTCTTCCACGAGATGCAGGGAAACCTTGCTGCCAGCCTGCTTAAATTTTTAGAAAATTTTCAGCGAAATAGTCCACCTCTAATAGGCTATTTTTCATATGTACCTTGGAGAGGGACATCATGCTTGGGAGGGTGGAGGGACAGCGCAGGAGGGGAAGACCCTCTGTGAGGTGGATTGATTCAGTGACTGGGGTAATCGGGATGGGTGTGTCAGAGACAGTGTGATTGGCACAGGATAGAGCAGAGTTTAGGGCTGTTGTACACAGGGTCGCTATGAGTCGCAAACGATTCGACGGCACATAACAACAACAACCATGTGATGTGCTTAAAACTGGGTCCCCAGCCATCCTCAGTTTTCTTCAAAGAATTTTATAATAGATCTCCCCACCTCCCTTCTCTTTTGGTCTCATTCTGGATTTATTCTCGGGGCATCGCCTTAACACTCGAGCTCTTCAGATTTTGCACACACACAGCTCACAGCGCCTCTGGGGCTTCACTTTGAAGTCTTACTAGACCCTGGCCCCAACCCTGCACCACTGTAAGAGGCAGGAAAGTGGGGGACCAGGCTGCCTACGTGACCTTGGGCCAATGGCTTCCTCTCCCTTAGTTCTGTTTACTTTTGTGAATAATGCAAGGCCCTGTCTAGCTGTGGTGAGGATCACATGAATGAACCAGCAGCGCAAGAAATCAGATAAATGCTCCGTAGAAATGCTTATCATCTAGAAAGCTGAGGTGGCTTAGTGGTGGGGATTTGTGCTGCCAACTCAGAGTCGAGTGGTTGGAATCCACCAGCTGCTCCACAGGAGAAAGATGGTCAGTCTCCTCCTGTGTGATTTATAGCCTCTGAAAACATATGAAGTAGGCTAAAGGCTCAGTAAAAATTGGTTCTAATTAGGGAGCATGTTTTCTCCCCAACTCAGAGCTTCGGGAGAATGAACTATATACACAGTGCTGGCTTAATTGTACAAATATTTGTGCTCTACCTCCCCAATGGACTTGAAGCACCTTTACAATATTTTTCAAGTTCTTTCCTTTCTCAGCTATTTCCTCCCTTCCTGCCTCCCGCTCTCCATATACACTTAAAATGGCAATTATATTAAAAAAATAAAATTTAACCAACTAAAAATCTCATCATATCAGTCATTAATGGATGCTTAAAAGCAAATACATATCTATATTGATTAACAAAAGCTTTCTCTTCTAATTATGAAGCCAGTAATGTTGATGATAGAAAATAATATGTTCATTGTGAAAAATGGAAGTTTCTCAACTTTCCACTTTCTGTGTAACACCTGGTGGAAGGAAGACTTTTTAATATAATCAAAGCCTAAATTATATTGTGAATGAAGAACATACCCATTTTGGAATTTAGAAATGACCATGATAGGCCCAAAGGATTCCTCTTTGGCCAGGTACATGTGGTCTTCCACATCCGTGAACACTGTCGGTTCCATAAAAAAGCCTATTTGGAAAAGAAAAAGGAAGAATCTCAATGCTAGGACAGTTGTTAAGTAATAGTTCTATTGTTTAATGATATTTATTTTTTCTCCTCTCTGGGTCAGTAAAAGCAGGAAGACTTTAATTTTTCTACTTAGTGTTATAATTTCTAGGTTCTTTTTAAGTGTTTTTATTAGGAAAATTGGTGTAATAGGTACAGCTCTGTAAATTTATGTAATTATGTATATATATGTAAAAGACTGTACAATAGCAAGCTCTGATTGCTATGCCGCAGAGAGCTTGACAGTGACTAAGGATGCCAGAAGAAGAATTGATGCCTTTCAGCTGTAGTCCTGGAGAAGGGTCTTGAATATACCTTGGACCACCAAGAAAACAAAGAAGTCTGTATTAGGGTGAAACCAAGTTTCTCCTTGGAGGCGGGGATTTTGAAGCTCCTTCTCACATACTCTGGGCATGTGGCCAGAAGGGACTGGTCCTTGGAGAAGGACATCAAGCTTGGAAGTGTGGAGGAACAGCACAAGAGAAGATGACCCCAGATGAGATGGATTGATATGGTAATTGGGGCAGTGGAATTAGATGTGTTGGAGTCAGTGAGACTGGCTCAGGATAGGGCAGTGTTCAAAGCTGCTGTACATAGGGGTTGCCATGAGATGCAGATGATTTGACGGCACATAACAACAGTAACAACAACATATCAAAGTAGAGAAAATAATTGCCAGCTAAACACTTACTCATATTTTGCTATATTTTATTTGCTTTCATGATTTTCCTTACTGAATTTTTTAGAATTTATTCATTGTTGCACATTTTCTCTCCCTTCCCTTCTCCCTTCCCAGCCCACCCAACAATGTCCCCCTTGTTCTAGGTTTTTCTCATGCATATAATGCTTAATCATATATTCCTTTCAAATAGTTCTGTCCCTCATCTGTTCTAATGCAGTGCTCACTATCTATCCACTCTTCCCTAATCCCTCTCCAAACCCCTCATCATAATGAAATATTTTAAAGCAAATTACAAGTATTTCAGCACGAATCTATAAAATACAGCAAAATGTATTATCACATCAAACAAAGTTATAACTAATTCTTTATTCCTCGTTTCCATTTCTCTGATTATTTAAAAAAATACCTTTTTTAAAAAAAATAGACTTTATTTTTTTGAATTGGGATTTAAGTAAATTCCACACATTGTATCTAGTTGGGCTGGTGGGGGATCCTAAAATTCCCACTCTGGCTGCCTGCAGAGGCTTTGAGCTCAGAGCATTCTCTGAAAGAGACGCTAAGAATTCTCTTTGCCAGTCCTTCTCAGAGGGGCCTTCTTCCTAGTTCTGAATCCACAGTAGCTAAGATTAAATCTCACTGTGCTAAGAATCGAGATGTGTAATGTAAGTTGCCTATCAGAATGATTTCCTTTATAGTTAAAGACCCGTTACTCCATTTTGTTATTTAATTTTCAGACCCTTGTAAATGTGCATGTTTATTTCACTTATGGAGGAGGAAAGTGCTCATAAAAAACGTGTGGTCAAGGATGCCACAGCTTAGAATAGTCAAGGTGTTGTTAGGGACCATTGAGTCAACTATGACACACAGTGACCCTGTGTACAATACATCAGAATCTTGTCTCGTCCTGTGTCATCCCCATGATCTCTGCCTTGCTTAAACCCATTATTGCAGTCACTGTGTCAAACTGCTTGGCAGCATTGTGATGGATGGTGAAGAGACTGAGATTGTAAACAGTTTTAGTTTGCTTGCTTGGCTCCACAATCAATACTCGTGGCACTAGAAGCCAGAAAATCAAAAGACATATTGCATTGGAAAAGTCTGCTGTCAGATCTTGCCAAAGTATTGAAGAGCAATGAGGTCATTCTGGAGACTAAGGTGTGCCTGATACAGGCCATGGTCTTTGCATTCACTTGCTATGCATCAGAGAGCTGGACAATGACTAGAGATGACAGAAGGAGAATTGATGCCTTTGAGCTGTGGTCCTGGAGAAGAATACTGAATATACCATGGACTACTAGGAGAACAAACAAGTTCATCCTGGAGAGGATGAAGCCAGGCTGCTCCTTGGAGGTAAGGATTCTGAAGCTCCGTCTGACATTCTTTGGACATGTTGCAAGGAGGGACCAGTCCTTGGAGAGGGACGTCATGCTTGGGAGGGTGGAGGGACAGCACAGGAGAAGAAGACTATGAGGTGGATTGATTCAGTGACTGGAATAATGGGGGTAGGTGTGTCAGAGACAATAAGATGGGTACAGGATAGAGCAGGGTTTAGGACTGTTATACACAGTGTCGCTATGAGTCGCAGGTGACTTGACGGCACGTAACAACAACAACAACATGCTGATCCATTTCACTGAAGGTCTTCCTCTCTTTAGCTGACCCCTAAACCTTTCACAGCATAGTGTGTTTTTCGAAGGACTTGCGCCTCCTGACACTGTGCCCAAAGTAGACGAGACAAAGTTTCACCCTCCTCAGCCTCTAAGGAGCACCCTGGCTGCTCTTCCTCCGAGAAAGGTTAGTTTGTTCTTTTTGCAATCCATGAGGTATTCAGTAATCTCTGTCAACACCACCATTCCAATTTAACTCCTCTTCAGTCTTCCTTATTACTGTCCAACTTTCAGATGCATGTGAGGCAACTGAAAAAAAGGGTCATGTAGGATCTAAAAATGAATTTATAAGAGCTCAAGGACTGCAGCCTTCAGTATGAACTAAGGTTCAACGTCAAGAAGACAAAGATTCTCGCCACTGGACCAATTGGCAGCGTCAGGATGGATGACGAAGAGATTGAGAGTGTTCACAGCTTCACTTTGCTCGGCTCCACAGTCAACACTCTTGGCACCAGCAGTCAGGAAATCAAAAAGCGTATCTCAATGGGAAAGTCTGCCGTTAGGGACCTCTCAAAGGTACTCAGGAGCAACAGTGTCTCTCTGGAGACTAAGGTGCGCCTGATACAGGTCATGGTATTTGCAATCGCTTGTTATGCATCAGAGAGTTGGACAATGACTAGGGAGGACAGAAGGAGAGTGGATGCTTTTGAGCTGTGGTGCTGGAGAAGGGTACTGAATGTACCATGGACTGCCAGGAAAACAAACAGATTCATCTTGGAGAGGATTAAACCAAGCTGCTCCTTGGAGGCAAGGATTCTGGGGCTTCGTCTGACATACTTTGGACATGTTGCCAGGAGGGACGGGTCCTTGGAGAGGGACATCATGCTTGGGAGGGTGGAGGGACAGCGCAGGAGGGGAAGACCCTCTATGAGATGGATTGATTCGATGACTGGGGTAATCGGGATGGGTGTGTCAGAGGCGGTGCGGTTGGCGCAGGATAGAGCAGGGTTTAGAGCTGTTGTGCATAGGGTCGCTATGAGTCGGAAACGACTCGATGGCACATAACAACAACAACAACAACCACACTATTTCCTTTTGAGGCAACATGGTATGACAATAAACACTGTAACCATCAATTCCAACTTGAGAAGTCAAGAGACCTATAAACCTTGTATGGAAGTAAATGATCTCACCTGGCCTTTGGACTTGCCTTCCCCCATATACCAAGGTGGCCCCCTCCTTCTGTCCAGCTTCACAGTACTGCAGAAGCTTTTCCAGGTGAGCCTTGTGATTTTGGGGCCCATGGTCAGTAGATCTGTCAAGTGGATCACCGATTTTCATCTTTTTAATCTCTTCTACCTGTATGTCATCCGGTTTACAAAACACAATTCACTGTTAATAATAGCTCCCCTTGACTGAGTTGATACTAGGTAGTAGGTGTTAGATTAAGCTCTTTGTAGTTATGTCATCATTCAGTCTTTAGAAAAACACTGGAAGTTGCTATTTATGATTTGTCTTACAGATGAAGAAGCAGAAACATACAGAGGTTAAGTGACTTACTCAATGACACCTCACACTCACTGCCTTGGAGTTGGAGACTCAGGGCAGATTTTCCAGTAGAGGCTCTGAATCACAGGAAAGGAGATTGTCCATTATTCTCCCACAGAGGAGCTGGTGGACGTGAACCTCATACCTTTGGGTTGGCAGCACAACTCCTGATCACTAGCCCACCAGAGCTCCCTATACACTGTGGAGTATGTGGCCTTAAATTGAAGGTCAAAACTTTCACTGTGCTTCAACAACATGAACTCCTGCACTGTGTTCAAGTTTGCTTGAATGCTAATCCATTACATTAGCAACTTGAAGTTCTGAAACTTTTATTAATACTGTATATTTAAACTTTTCATGGTAAAATAATTTTTCAAATGGCCATATCGTTAATCTTTTTTTCTTTCTCTGCAAATGTGTCCCAAGTGTTCTTGAGAAATTTTGATGGGATAGCATGTGGGAAGAATTGTTAAAATATTCAGATGAAAGTAAATCTATGCCGTACAAAGTCCATCAATGACATGTCTGTAATAGCTTCTTGTGCTCCTTACTTATCTTAATTTGTCTGATTCTAGTGAAAGCAAAGAATGGTTGTTACTGTGTTACCTGTCAGGGCCATGAACTTGAATTCAGGCTGGCGGGAATCCCCAAGTGCCTTGCCCAGGCTCCTGTGCTGGGCCTGAAGCTCTGAGCAGGCAACACCTTGTTTGCCTCATTCTCCTGTGTGTTCCCAGCATCTAACACAGTGTATTTGGTAGCTAGAAGGTGCTCAAGAAATAGTTATTGAATCAATGAACAAATATAGATACATGTATACAAAACATGTTTACTGATGGACTGGATATGTCAAATCCTTGACTTTTACAGCATCTACAACTCCAACAATGTGTAAGAAATCCCATGCCATCTCGTACTATAAATTGGAATTCTGCCAAGTACAACTTGAACTAGACTGTGATAATCAGGAGTAGACACTGTCCTCTTGATTGCCCCTCGCTATCTCTCCAAATTCCTTCCTAGAGCTCCTCTTTCATTAAGACATTTATGTTTGCTTTTTGAATTCAAGAATTGGTTCTGAAAAAAGAAAAGATGGATTCTGATTTAATATTTATAAGCAAATTCATGATTACTATTATTATCCTTATTTCGTCATGCAGGGAGCTCTGGTGGCTTAGTGGTAAGAAGTTGCACTGCAATCCTGAAGGCATATGGTTTGAATCCACCAGCTGCACTGCAGGAGAAAGATGGTCAATCTTCTCCCATACAATTAACTGCCTCTGCAAACCTGCTGAAGTGTCAGCTGTGGCTCAATTCTGACTTGATAGTACACAACAACAATGACATAATGTAGCACAGTTTATGCTTTTTTTTTGCCACATAATTCAAAACCATGAATGTATTTTAGTCTCATTTTTATGGAAGCCTGATTAATCTATCAAATGGCCATTAGCCTCATATTTATGGAGGCATGATCAATTTAAAGGAACTATTACTTGATTTTAATTTGTAAGTATGTCAATATGCAGCTATAAGAGGTAAGGATTATTTTATAAAAAAACATATGTACACTATTGTCATCATATGGGGGAAAGTATTAATAGTCCAGGAAGTGCTTTTAAGGTAAAAACAATTTCTAGATAATTTGTTGAGCTGTTGAGATGACTTACCACTCTTGTCACAAACTCATCATGGATGGATTCTTCCACAAACAACCTCCCAGCTGCAATACAGTTTTCTCCTTTATTGAAAAATACTGCTCCCATGCCCTGTGGAAGCAGAAGAGAAAACGTTTTTTAACATCATTAGTGGACTCAAGATTGTTCTACAATTGTACACATATAATCTGGACAACAGCAGACACCATAAAAAAGCTGTTAAAAAAAATAAATCTCCTTGTTAATGAGAAATGCTCGGACATACTAATTTGTGACCTATCATGTTTTCTCAATTTTTTTTCAACCCAAAGGATTTTGTTTCTTATTTACTCCCTCTTTTTTGGTTCGTTGTTGTTGTTGTTGTTAAGTGCCATTGAGTAATAGGTGACTCATAGCGACCCTATGAACGAAAGTCCTCGACACTTGTGTGACTTTCATCCTTTCTCCACGTTCATAGGGTTTCCTGAGGCGAGCTATTACGGAAGTGGATGCCACTCCTGCTTCCAGTTTGGTTCATCAGCAACTTAAAAAGAATTGTGTAATGTTAAGACGTTACTATTAAGGGACAAATTTGGTGTTAAAAAAAAATCTAGTTATTTCCTAAACTAAAATGTAATACTTAGGTACCAAATTTTACTTTGAAAGTGCCATTTATATGAATCATGAACTTTTAGAAAACCTTCACACTACACAGACAAATCAAAACAAAATTATATAGTTTTGCATTGGGAAAATCTGTTATCAAGGACGTCTCTAAAGTGCTAAAGAACAAAGATGTCTGTTAAAAGGCTAAAGTGTGCCTGATTCAAAACAGGATATTTTCAATTGTTTCTTATGCATCTGAAAGTGGGACAATGAATAAGGACAACAGAAGAAGAATTGAGGTCTTTGAATTGTGGTGGTGTTGGAGAAATATTGATTATCTCAAGAAATGCCAGAAGAATGAATAAGTCTGTCTTGGAGGAAATGCAACCAGGGTGCTTCTAAGAGATAAGGATGGTGAAACTTGGTCTCACATACTTTAGGCATATTGTCAGGAGGGGTCAGGGCTTGCAAAAAGGCCATCATGCTGGGAAAAGTAGAGAGTCATGCAAGTGGAGGAAGACTTGACAAGGTGGATTCACACAGTATAACAATGGGCTCAAGTTGTGAGGACGGAGCAGGAGAGAGCACAGTTCAGATCTGCTGTTGATAGAGCCGCTATGTCAAACAGCAGCAGTATCTGACAACAACGATGGGGAAAAAAGAGAAAAGGCATCTATTTTAAGAAGAAAGTGTGGGGAAATAGTTTTGTTTTTATTATAATTAATATTTTTATAATTCATATACTTTGTTATTTTTAATTTTATACTGATTTATTTACAAAGTTTGAATATATTGTCTTTCACAAAAGATCCTTCCCATTTCCTTCATCCCATCCACCCAACAAATTTCATATTGTTTTTCATGCATGTACACTGTGTTCCATATTGTCCTTCATTTACATTTTGTTCATTTTTATTGTTGTTGTTGTCGTCATTGTTATATGCCATCAAGTTGCTTGTGACTCATAGC